GGGTATCTTGGCTAATTTTGGCCAAGATATCCGATATTGCGTCAATATTGTCAAGCAATAATTCTCTAATATTGTTTTACCAATATTGGCAAACAATATTGCGCCAATATTGTCCCATTATCGTTTTAATATTATTGTTATGCTAATATTGGCGAAATATTGCTTGACAGTATTAGCTTTATGTTAAACAGTTAATATTGACCAATGTTGACATTTTTACATATTGGTACGCATGCGTAACATTAAGAAATATTCATAATGTCCTTTAGTTTCGTTAAATGTAAATAAAAGCATCTTTTTACATAAACAGACATCCTTATGTTATTAATTCTTTTACAAAACAAATAAAAGTTCAAAGTAATAATTTTAAATTATGAAAAGAGAAGAAGTAGGAAAAGTATTTTTAATTCAACATATACAGAGTAAAACAAGAGAAGAAGTGTTAGTAATTTATTTTGAAACAAATTGTATCACGAGAAGAAGTGGTAAGAATAATGGAATTCTTTTATTTAACATTTATCAATTCAATCACGAGAAGAAGTGGTTGTAATTGATTTAAAACGTATTGCATCACGAGAAAAATAAGAAAAATATTGCTATACTTAAGTATCAAGAATAAATTTGTAAGTTTACTCTTAAATGAAAACCCTTTGAGAAGATTTCATCTATAAAATATAAGTTTTATAGTCAATTTATTTTATTAAAGATATTCATTTAAGAAATAAATACGTCATTATTATTGTTTCTAACTGTTATAAGATATTATAACAGTTAGAACTATTGACCTTCTCACACACAGACACACATAGGCACACACACATAAATTTCTTACAAGATAGTAATTTTGCAATACAAAAGTTTTTTTTATAATGTCTTTTTTTTTATATAGCATTTTTTTTAATGCAATAGTTTGATGCAACGTTGTAGGAAATAAACAAATCAATAAGTTAAACTAGATCTGCTACATTACATTATATTAGGAGTAGTTAAACAAGATTAAAGTAAAATTCACACAATAAGTAATCCTGAAAAAAGTAAAAATTATATTAATGCGACTTTGAAAATGCAATAAACTTTAGCGAGGATTGATGTTTGAACATTAGCTTTGGAGAATAAAACTGATATAGAAAATTTGTATCTAGATATATCAAAAGCTTTAGACACATTTCACAATTATCTCCTACTTCTAAAATTATAAGCATATAGAATAGATGACAAACTCTAAAATTAGGTTTGTATATTACCTAAGAGATCGGCATTAGAGTACCATTGTTGGTGGTACATACACGGAATTGGTAATAGTAAATAGTGGGGTCCCCCATTATTTACTTTTATGATGTATATTAGTGATTTTTCTGATTTGTTTTTAGATTTTATATCTGTATTTACAGATGATACTGAGTTATACAGTTTGCTTTTTGATAGCTCACCATGCAATGAGCTGCAAAAATGGATGGATATTATAGCAAACTGGGCAAAACTATGAAAACTAAGTTTTAATGTAAAAAAATGTAAATTTATGCCCTTAAGACCAAAAAATACTAAGTTCATTTATATACTCGTCGATAAAAATCTCAGTTCTTCAATTAATCTTAAAAACTCTCTCGTAAATAAAGGGATCTTCATTGACAATAATTTGACTTTTATTTTGTATCTACAAAGAATAACACCACCAATAAAATTGTAGGAATGATCAAAAGATCATTTGTCAATCTCAATATCTTAACATTTTATACTTTGTTTATTTTTCTTGTTTGTACTCACCTTGATTCTTGCAGCTCTGTCTACTATCCTAGGCTTTAAAAAGATCAACAATTAATTTAAAATGTTCTATGCAAGTCTAGTAAATTTATTTTTGGCCAGACTTACTACCAAAGACTACTGAGACTAAATTTAACTAGGGTGAGCTATCGTTTCTTATGTAATGGCATTGACAGAAACTTACAAATGCATTTACAATCTTTATAGTTGTAGTTGCAACCCTTTTGTTTCTTCATTAAATACCATTCAGTATTTTATCTATCAACACCTGTCTTAGAGTGATGTCATCTGCACGGCTGTTATATTTATTATTGTAATTACAGACCATTAAGTAGTTAATCTAAGTTGTATTAGCACATGTGTCAATATGGCTGCTTCTTAATAATAATATATAGATTATATATTTTTTCAGTATTTATTCCTCCATTATGACTAACCCTAACTTTACAACGTGCGGTCATCTTTGTAAATTAAAAAAAATGTTTTGAAAGACAGTTGTCCGGAAAATCTTTTTTAGTATGCAATTCACAAATTTCTAGAATAGTCTACCATCAGAAATAGTGTGTTCAACATCTGTCACAATGTTTAAAAAACATCTAGATGCATATTCGGTACATCAAATGAAAAATTGCATATAAACAATTAGACCTACACAAGTAGATACAGTAGAACAAAAGGTTGATTAGCTTATTTTATATGCCTAGTTATTCTTTATTTAAAATTATAACCTTAGAAAATAATAATAATAACAACATTAATAATAATAACAATATGTTATATTAAAACTCATATAATAGTTATTTGCCTAAAGATACTTCAAAATCCTCCAATGTTAAGTTTGTTGACGTATCATATTTTTATGAAACCAACCCTAATACTTAAATAACAAATGCTGTTTATCATTTTTTTAAATCTTAAATAGTAGAGTTATACAATTCACTGTATGTTTACTGCAGTATGCCAGTAAACAAACTATTTTTTTTTTTATGGAGCATAATTTTATTTATTTTAGAAATAAAATTAGTATGAAATTAAATTTCAAATTAATTAAACACCGATTAATTTTTATGTTTGTTTTAAATGTTAAAACACTTTATTTTAGTGTTCCATAGCTGGAAAAATGCCTGGCTAACTCATTTAATTGAGCATGAGATCTTAATCTCATGCTCATTTGAATCTCGTAATCTTGGGGTAAAAATATGCTTAGAGTCTTAAGTTGGTTGTCTTCAGGGAGCATTTACTATGGCTCTTTAGCCGTAGTAAATGCACCATTTTATTTTTAGAATAAATAAAATTATACTCTATCATAAAAAGCAAACCAATATTAGAGAATGAAAACACTAATAAAAATAAAATTTGTAACAAATATTATTAACTCTTCCTTTATGTCATATTTAAATAAGAAAATGTTATTGTGGAAACCTTTCCAAACCACACAAGCTTTAAAGTTCACTTTTTTTAACTAACCAATTATCAAACTCTACTTGAAATACAAAGCGATTACAATTTACATTAAGAAATAATGCTCTGGCTGAATTTTTTAATAGAAAAACAACATGTGTGCTATGTATGTAACCTGTTTTTCATGGCTGATCAATGAAAGTTTGATGTATGGGCCAAATTACTTGCAAGTATCTTACTTTTTGGCTGCCATACGTGAAGCCACGCTTCTAAAAGTAACTGGAAGCAGCTGATAATATTTTTTTATTTTATTTTGGTAATTGCTTATTTACAATATTGTTTTTGCTTGTTTAATTTTAAGTTACACACATGCAAGATGCTAATGATCTAGACAGCTATATTTGACTTAAATACTGTTCATTGTTTAGTATGGTTTCATATTTTCTATATATATATTTTTTTAATTAAGAAACTGCTTTAGAATGGAAATGTTAGAGTTTACATCAAGCGTTGAAACAGCTGTTGATAGTGATGAAGAAAAATTATCTCTGCCTTCAGCTTAAAAAGTTGCAGGTTACAAAAAAAGTGACTCTGATGAGATTGTACATCATTTTTTCAAAGATAAAAGAAATCTTTAGTTTTTTAGGGTTAAGTGTTTCCATCAGAGTTTTGCTTGACCATTTCTTTCAATTTATTGAGTTAATTGAGTTTTTTTTATTGAGATATTTGTTGGTTAAAGAGGAAAAAAGATCATCTTAACCTGGAAGAAAAATGATGGAACAAAGGCACATTATGAATCAGTGAGTTTGTGTCAGTAAATTATTATTAGTTAATAGTTTTGGAAACAGTTTCATATACTATTAAAGTTTCTATTTAAAAAAAATGATACATTCATATAAAACAGACAAATAAATGATACAATATGATACATGATTGAATATAATTATGATTTATATAAGAATGTTTTATATAAATGTCTGTTATATTTTGTTGTGATTTTTATCTTTTATGCCCAGTTAGCAATGTATTTTGTGTAGCAATGACTACTAATCTCAGATATCTATGACATCTTTACGTTGTATTCACCACAGCTTTTTGCTGTGGCGAATGCAACCAATCTTGAAGAATTTTATACTTCTCTGTTATTGTGGTCAAGGATAGGAGAAGCTCACAAACCTGTATAAAATTCTGGATGATGTTCTTCCTAGTGTTACATTTTAAAAGGTTTATAAAAAAAAATCAGTCCTGATCTGCAAAAAAGGTTGACCTAATCTATTTACAACGAATTGCTTTTACTCTTCTATAATGTCATATTTTAATAAGAATCACGTTATGAAAAACCGTCTAATAGAGGAACCGTTAAACTGTTAGTACAACCAATTATATTACTTTTTTTTTTTTTAGATGAACTTTCTTACTTCGGTTGGAGGAGATGAGAAACAACTTACAGCGGCAATCTTAATACAGCTTATGGCCAAAGAAGTATATTTTTCATACTCAATGTATGAAAGGAAACAAAAACATCCTGCAAGGTTGTTATAGGTAAAGCACAATATTTGTATTCTATATCCCATTTCCTTATAATAATTAAATATTTTAATAAAAGCTAATTATTTTACAATATTTATACGTGAGAAATATAATTTCAAAATTATATTGTGATGATATTGAAAAAACATTTTGTAGAGTTGCGTTTACTCATTTATCGTTGTATTCGTTCATTTCGAAATCGCTACTGACCAAAGTTTTAAAGAAAAAATTAGCAGCTTTCTGGCGGCGGCCATTAATAGAGATTACGGAAGAAACAAAAAATGCCCATATCTGGTAGTGAGAGTTTAATACAGTAGTTTATAAATATATATATATATATATATATATATATATATATATATATATATATATATATATATATATATATATATATATATATATATATATATATATATATATATATTTTTTTTTTGTACCTGTATTTTAACAGCATTGGTTTTATTTTGTTATATTTTGGTTTTGAAAAACTCTATACCTCTTTTTTTAATTTGTTTCTGTTTCAAATAACTTCAAATAAATTTAATGATTTCCTTTTTTTTCATTAAAGCGTGTTCTATGATCATTGTCATCTCCTCGACTATAACCTGTTTAACTCAAAAGAATAATGCAGCCTAGTCCTATCAAAAATATTGCCTTCTACAAATTTTTAATAATTAAAATGATACATTTAAACAAGAAAACTGTTATAAATTTTAATTATTAAAAATTTGTGAAAGGCAATATTTTTTATTATTTTTTAATAATAAAAATTTAATCAAAAATACTCAACTATTGCCTTAATAAAGATATATATATATATGTATATATATATATATATATATATATATATATATATATATATATATATATATATATATATATATATATATATATATATATATATATATATATATATATATATATATATATATATATATATATATATATATATGTATATATATGTATTATATATTAGGATAATATTGTAAACTATATTACGCCAATATTGGCCAGTATTGTATCCCCATTGATGGTGCGATGTTATTTACAAATTAGCGCAATATTTTATGCATTATCGCGCCAATATTGCAATGTGAACATTTTGCCAATATTGACCAATATTGACCTTACAGTATTGGCGCAATATTGTATCGCCAATATTGACTTTACAATATTGGCGCAATATTGAAGCGCCAATATTGACCAAAATTGGCAAAATGCTCGCACCGCAATATTGGCACGATATAGTTTATAATATTGCGCCAATTTTGTAAACAATATCGCCCCAAAATTGCGCCAATATTGTTTGCTACTTGGGTATTTTTTACTTTTAACAATTTTATCAATATTAGAAGAAACAATGGGTTACTTTTGTGTATTTTGTGAGTCAATCTTAAAATCATTAAAGACTGTAAGTGATCTTTTAAAACATTTTCATTATGGCCATTGTATTTCTTCAACACAAAATTGTAAAATTCCTTGCAGACAAGGTGGTTGTTGCGGAACATATGACAGTGTCCATGCCCTTAAAAATTTATTTGTATAGAAAACATCTAAGTGATACTTATACGAAATATGAAAGTATAAATATTTCTCCTGTGGAAAGGACTGATGAGCTAATAGATCAGCAAGGTAGTTATACAGCAGGACATATTGATAAAGATAACACTAGTAATATTTATTCAAGTGTATTATATGGGGAAAATATAAAAGAAATGATTTTAGATGTTTTAATGACTCTTAGGTGTCATAACATAAGTGAAGTTGTAATTCAGTATGTAGGAAAAAGTGTTCAAAATAATTTATCCACAGTAATTGAAAGTGTACAAAAAACAATGCTCAATAATAAAGCTGATGCTGACAGAATAAATGAGTAGCTAAATGATTTTGAATATGAATGTGTTAAATGTACTTTAATTACATCTAGTTACTTGCAAAGAAAATACTTACAACAAAAAAGGATGGTTTCACCTATTGAAATAACTGTTGGGTTCAGATCTGAGATGCATCATAAAGTTTGTAAAAATAATATGATAAGTTATGTAAATGAAACTAAGCAATATATTCCTATACTAGAAACCATTTCTATGGTGCTTTCAAAGTTCAATGTTGATGAAATAGATAGTAACATTAGTACAAAATAAAATAAATCAACTTGTTATAGTGATGCAGAACAATATAAGAATCACCCTTTATATCAAAAACATCCAAATGTTCTTCAGCTTCAAACATACTGTGATGATTATAAAACAGTAAACCCTTTAGGTTCATAAACTAAAGTTCACAAAGTTTGTGCTGTTTATGTGTCTATAAAAAATGTTAACACAAAGAGATGCTCTAAATTGGCCAACATATATCCTGTAATTTATTGTTTTTCAGCTGATGTTGCAAAGTATGGATATGAAAAGCCTCTAAAACCACTTTTCTAAAGCGAAGGACTTGTTAGCTCTAGAAAAAGGAGTTTAATTGTATATAAACGGAACTTTCGTTTGCATATTTGATGCAGTAGTTATGTGGTCTGGGGATAATCTTGCATTGCACCAGAACTTTAGATTTAGTTTAAACTTTAATGCTAATAAGTGCTGCCATTACTGCTATAGAACAAAAGAACAAATGCAACACACTTTTTATGAAAAAGTGTAGGCTTAAGAACTAAAGAACGTCACATTGCCGATTATCAAGTACTTTTTAGTGATACTGAATATTTTAAATTGTTTGGTGTATATAAACAAAATCCCTTGTCAGAGCTTAAGTAATTTTCTGTTCCTGATAACATTTGCCAAGATTTAATGCATGACATTTTTGAGTGTTGTTTACAGTATGAATTAAAAATAATTCTTCATCACTTCATTACTAATTGATTGCCTGTTGACCATTGAGGAATTCAATGGCCGTCTGCTAACGTTTATTTTTGCCATTAATAAAAAAAAAAAAACATTATATTTGCCAATAAGACGTGAAAAACTTGTTTCTAAAGACAAAAAGTTAGGTATGAATGCAACTCAAAGTTGGTGTTTAGAAAGATTTTCTTGTTTGTTGCATGGTGATGTTGTAGAAACTAAAAACCAGTATTTTTATTTAATTCATTTACTATTGGAAATATGTGGAATAATCTTTGCTCCAAAATTGACTATTCATTTAATAACTTATTTAACAGAGGTGATTAGCAATCATTACAAGTTGTTTACAGAAATATTTTCTGGACATACTGTTATTCCAAAACAACATTTTCCTGTTCACTATCTCACCAAAATTTTACAAGTAGGACCTTCGCCAAGTTATTGGTGTATGCGATTTGAAGGTAAACATGTGTCACATTTTGAACAACTTTAAAAATGTTTGCAAAAGTATAGCGTGGTGTCAGCAAATACAATTACATCTTGATTTGTCAAATTTTGCTCGAGTACTCAATTTAGAAGTAGGTCTTGGTCTTGAAATTATGCCTGCTTGCTTACCTTTGCCTATGCCTTTTTTTAGTGAAATTTCATTATATGAAGAGTGCTTCGGTGCAAATTATGTAATCAAAGATGGATAAAGTACATGCCAGACTTTATTGTAGTTTTAGGGCTGACCAAACTTTGCCTTCCACGTTTTGGAAAAATTGTATATCTACTTGTCAGTGAAAATGAATGCACACTTATAGTTGAAAATATTTCAACCATACATTATGATGCTCATATTGTTGGGTATAATGTTTGTAAAACATCTAAATATATAGCTGTTAAAATAGACAATTTATTTGATTCTCATGTACTGTTATTATCAACTGGCTTCAGAAAGCATTCTGAAGAAAGTTTTGTTATAACAAGACATGAATATAATAACGTAGATATACTAGCATAATCTTTTGTTTTTGTTATTGATTTGATTTTGCTATTGATTAAACAAAACTATAATATAAAAATATTTACACAACTTTTTCAAATTAATTTTTTTAAATTATGTATTTGTTTAGTAAAATGATATTTTCATTTTAAATAAGTAATATTGGTTCAAACACGAATAATGTTTTTTGTTTTCTTACTTTTGATTAATGTTTTTCATAATAATGAACATAAATATGAAAAAAATCGATAAGATTTAATGACTTGGAACTTATTGTTTTTACGCCCGGAGTTCTGGAGTCCCGGAGTCTTTGCCGCTATTATACCTAAAGACTGCGGATTTAAAAAAATAGTTGTTCCTCTAACCTAAAAGTATTTTTTTTTCTATTATAAGTCCATAAACTTTTTTATGCTTTTAGAGCTTTTAGATACCAAAAACTAGGAAGAAATAATCTTTTTGTAACTTTTAAATCTGAAGTTCTTTTTGGGACTCTGCATCCCTGTTGCTGGGTATAATTTGAAAAACATCTAAATATATGGCTGTTAAAATAGACAATTTATTTGATTCTCATGTAAAATTATTCTTATTTTCAAATTTTTTTAAAAATTATGTATTTGTTTAGTTTAGTTGATAATGTCATTCTAAATAAGCAATATTTGTTCAAACAGGGATAATGATTTTATTTTCTTTCTTTTAATAAAGATTTTTTATAATAATTAAGGAAAGTAATAACTTCTTAAGTAAAGTTTTTCCAGTGGAAGATATATATCGTCTCTTACCTCTTCTGGGGGAGTTAAGTGCTAGTTCAATGGAAGATTTGCAGTTTTTGAACGTTGAAACAGATCTGCCAAATCTTCTCTTAAGAGACGGAAACTAGAAGCAGCTTTAGCATGTTCAAAATCTAATTCTGTTTGATCACAAAGTATTGGTATGTTAATCCAATTTATTTTTAATAAAAGTTGTTCCATTTTCTCGTCATTTTTTATTGATGTGACTTGAATATAGTAACAGTTTTGAATATAATTAGTGATATACTATAGAAACATCTGTAGTAACTCAAGTTGCATGTACCAAGTCAAGTGGCTCAAAAAAGATGGTACTTAATTTTTTATTATTTTATTGTAGTTTAACTTCTTTTATATGTTATTGTTTCATAATTTATTATAGTTGTAATATACAGCTTTATACTTTTTGAATAGTTAATGAATTAAAAAACTCATCTATTGGTTACTTCTATTAGGTTGAGTCAATACTGGATGCATTTGAAAATCACCCTTTGAAAAATAATAGTATTATTGAGGCACAAAAGACTGTAATGGGTGATCGCTTGCATTGTCTCCTTATTAAAGTAGCTTGCTTTTACTTAATTGATTGCTTTGGAAAGTAAGTGTTATAATAATATTCATATGTATATATTATCACAATTCATGATTATTTAGATATGGTGTTAAATTAGTTATGTTATAATATAGTTATATTATAT